GAAAACAAAGTAAAACAAATAAAATACCTCTAATGTAATAAGTTAATGATTGTATAAACTTCTGTCAGCTTTATTGAGGTGGTGCAGTGGTTAAATGTTCAGCTGCTAACCAAAAGGTTGGCAATTTGAATCCACAGCTGCTCCTTGAAAACCCTGTGGGGCAGTTCTACTCTGTCCTATAGGGTCACTATGAGTTGGAATCAACTCAAAGACACCTTTTTTTTTTTTTTTTTTAAATTTACATACATTAGAATTACAATTGTGAAACCACCACCATAGTGAAGATTTAGAACATTTCTATCACTCTAAACCCTCCACTCATCACGGCCTCTGCCTGATCTGTTTTCTATGACTACAGTTTTGCTCTTTCTAGAGTTTCACATAAGTGGAATCATAGAGTATGTAATCTTGTCTGTCTGGCTTCTTTTTCACTTGTTGTTGTTGTTAGTTGCTGTGACATAGGCTCCTACTTATGACGACCCCATGTACAACAGAACCATTATGTTGCCCAGCTCTGTACCATCTTCACAATCGTTAGTTTCAGCCCCTGTGTGTTTTAACTTCCAACCTAGGGGGCTCGTCTCCCAGCACTATATCAGGCAATATTCTGTTGCGATACACATGGTTTTCATTAGCTAATTTTCATAGGTACATTGCCAGGCCTTTCTTCCTTTTATCACTTAGCATAATGCTAGTTCTTTTTTGTTCACTTACCGTAATACTATTTGCATAAATGTAATTGTTCTCAGGATTAAGTCCTCAGAAGTATCTGAAGCATTGCATCTGTTAAGAGATATTTACTAGTATTTGGAGGCTGATTAAGACTTTGGTGTGTTGTCACCTGTCAATTCTTTTCTACCAAAGACTGCCAAGAGCACACCCGTGGTTGAACAAGTAGCATTTGTTACTTTTTGCAGTGAGGGAGAACACACACCATGGGGAACCAAGGGTATTTCAGTAAGAAGTTGTCAGAAAGGACTTATTATAGGATTTGAGTTTGTGTTAGGTAATTGTGGGGATTCTCAAGGAAGTAGTAATTTCCTCTGAATTGGCTGCTCTCAGGGAGGAGGAATAAGTCTGTGATTGAATATCTTAATAAGTCTTATCTAGGAGGAAAGACTAGAGTGAGACTAAAGTTATTATTTGGTAAAGAAGCAGGAGTCACACATATCAGCCAGGAGAGAGGAGTGTTTGGTCATTTTTGTGAGTTTAGTCAATGTCCACCTTTTGGTCCGTGTTCAGACATGATTACAGAGTGATCTTGTTTTTATCTTGATCCTTCATGGTCATAGAGTGGTGTTCTATGACATTGTTTCTGTTCAATAGGAGACCACCAGGATAGCCCACTTGTGTGTGCCAGGCTAGCTCATAGCAATACCAAGGACTGGCTGGTAGTGTTAGGCCAGCTCCTGGATGTCATGGGCTACTTTTCTCTTTCTCAACTTTGTTTCAGAAGATTTCAAGGATAGGTGTCAAGATAAACAGGGATCACATAATAAACTGGCTGAGAGGTGAGGAGGTGGACACTAAAAAAAATACAGGAGCATTAGATTTCCAAGGGACAAAATACTTATTTCAGATGTGAACTCTCAATAGCAGGCAGATCTGGTGGCTGTGAGCTAGTTTTATAAGCATACTGGAGGTTATAAGCTTATTTAAATAGCTCTCTGCAAGCACTCAAACTTTACGTGGACCAGCGCTCCAAAAAGCAAGACAGAGCTGGGGATAATTTGTACTCTTAAAGTGAAGTTTTCCCAAAGTGAGTGCTTTAAAAACTTTAAAATAATTTCTTAATGGCATGTGAATGTATGTTTAAAAGACTGGAGCAATGTTATTGCCAAAGATTCAGTTAGTTAAGACAGGGTCCACTAGCCTTTTGGTGTCCGGGTATGACTTAGAAAATGGCACGCTGCCATGCACTCTGCACCAGATCCTCCCATGGCAGGGGGCACGGGATATGGGCTGAATTTCAGCCTCTACTCACCCCTCGGCCAGAGTCCTTGTACCTGAAATATGTTCAATAACTACATGCAATGGCCCTGGGCAGAGATTGTTGAGATAGTTTA